CTTAAACTCAATTCAGTCGGGAATCCATGAAAACTTCCGTAGGGTTGGCGTTGTTGGTTAGATTTACAAACTGGAACAGAGCAGTGACATATATAGCCTTCGTCTCAGCCATTGTTGAACTGCGTCGGAAGTAGTGGACATGCACAAAGTTGACAAATCCCGCCCATGAAACCCGGAAGCATGATAATCCCCTATTAAAGGATAGGACAGTAGGATAGGACAAAAGTAGTACGACCCTTCCCAGTTTAATCTAACGCACTATGTTTAAGATAATAGATGTAGAATAGAAGATTAAGAAGGGACAGTTCACCCAAAAATTATAATTTCTGTCAGTACACTCTTAGAAGAAAAGGTTCTATCAGCGCTACGTATTTGGAACCCCTAAAAGGTTCTATACACTCTTTAAAAAAGGGTTCCTCTGGGTTCTATATAGAACCCTGGGGTTCCATACTTGGCCAATAGAACCTTTTACCAAAAAAAAATGGTTCTATATAGAACCATTTTGGAGTTCCATATATGAAGCGGGGGATGGAACCATTTCTGGTTCTAAATAGAACCATTTCTTCTAAGAGTGTAATTACTCTCCCTCATGTTGTTCCAACCCCGTAAGAGTTTTGTTCTTCTTCGGAACACAAATGAAGATATTTTTGATCAAATCTGAGAGCTGGATTGTTCTGAAGCATTAGGGTGTTGTTCTTTAAAAATCTTTAAAACAAAGAAAACTTTTTCTTTCCTCAAGAGAAGCATAAACCTCCATTTTCTCCATTTAATCTGGCAGTCTAGAAGCAAAAACAGAGATAATAAAGAGATCTCATTCACCAGTTCTCTCCTACAGGGTTGTTCCAGATATTCCCTAAACCGAAGCGCCGAGGGATCATCCGTCCCCGCCTCTGACAAGGCCATTGCTCCAGACTTACAAAAGAATACTCCAACTTCATTGAGTGAAAGGCAACACAAAGCAAACAAACCCCCAAACCGCTGTCACGCCACCCCTCCCCGGCAGGCCTCCTCCTCGGGCTCCTGCTATTCAAGGGAAATGTGTATTTCCCACACTGGAGTTGTCCAGCAGGGTCTGCTTGGCAGGGGTTTTGCCTCGGGGTGAACGGGGAGACGGACTAGAGGTTACATCAACACACACATCGCTGTGGCATGTCACAAACTCACCGCCGGTTGCCTTGGCACTGTTAGCCGGCACATCCGGGCCAGAAACACTCAGAAGTGGTGGACGGCGAAAAGTCCCTCTGCACCCCAAGAAAATGAGCATATTTTTATGTATTCCTTTCTCTTCGAGTCATTTATTGCACATGGGGTTTTAAAAGCATCCTTATTCCATTTACAATGAATTATGATCATCTTACGGTGCTGGTAACATACAGTGACACCGGTGAACATCTGCGCTTGATCACTACCGACCTGACAAACGGCACACTTTCACCACTCACTGTTTTATATACGCCACCGATGCGTTTGATAATCAAAACGTTCACATCCAGACTGAAGGAAAAAGAACCAATGAATGACACTTTACAGATTTGTTAAGAATAGTTAACTACATTATTTAACAGGAATTTAATCTTGGTTTGTTAAAGGATTAGTTCACTTTTAAAAAAAGCTTTTGCTGATAATTTACTCACCCCCATGTCATCCAAGATGTCCATGTCTTTCTTTCTTCAGTCAGAAAGAAATTAGGGTTTTTGATGAAAACATTCCAGGATTTTTCTCCATATAATGGACTTCAATGGGAACCAAACGGTTCAAGGTCCATAAGACACTTTCAGTGCAAACTGTTCAAAGGGCTTTAAACGATTCCAGACTCTTCTGTTTGAACTCGTTCATCAAAATTAAGAAATCTTTTTTCGTGTCATTTGGTTTATTCAACAAACGAAATGAACAAGTTGACTCTGGAAAAGATTTGTTCATTTTTGATGAACGAGTTCGAACAGGAGAGTCACGAACGCTCATCACAGAACAGAGCAAGACGAACATTTGAGCTTATAAAACTTAAACTTTTATTTTTTTTAAATAAGCGATCGTTTCGCTTGATAAGACCCTTATTCATCATCTGGAATCGTTTAAAGCCCTTTAAAGCTGCACTGAAACTCTCATTTGGACCTTGAACCGTTTGGTTCCCAATGAAATCCATTATATGAAGAAAAATCCTGGAATCCTTAATTTCTTTTCGACTGAAAAAAGAAAGACACGGACATCTTGGATGACATCGGGGTGAGTAAATTATCAGCAACAGTTTTTTTAAAAGTGAACTACTCTTTTAACTTAAACATGTACTGATGCAATGCATTATCATTTCAAAAGTTGCATCTGATAAATGTTATTACTGTAAATGGACCTGAGCTAACATGAACGTACAAGGAAGTATTTGATTAACTAAAGTTAATGGTTATAAATTCCGTAACAGATAAGCACAAGGTTAGTGTTACCGAAATAATGAATGAATGAATGGATGAATGAATGAATGAACCAACCGGTGAATGAGAGTTTCAGAGCAACATAAAGAAGAAAAAAAGAAGGATAAAAGTAAGTGAACAAATGAAAGAAATGAAGAAAGAAAGAACAAAGGAAAAGAACCGATAAATAAAAATGAGACAGACAGATGATAGATAGATAGATAGATAGATAGATAGATAGATAGATAGATAGATAGATAGATAGATAGATAGATAGATAGATAGATAGATAGATAGATAGATAGATAGATAGATAGATAGATAGATAGATGAAGATGGATGGATGGATGGATAGACAGTCTTTTTGAAGAGCTAATAGATAGATAGATAGATAGATAGATAGATAGATAGATAGATAGATAGATAGATAGATAGATAGATAGATAGATAGATAGATAGATAGATAGATAGATGCAAAAGTGAATAAGCGTACAACAGGGTTACAGAAAAAAATTACAGAGGGTAAACTAAGAAAGAAATGTTTAAAAAAAGATTGATATAAACTACGACGCAACTGCTGTGCAATTTCCCTCTCCATTATGTCGTTTCAGTGCATTCTCACAAACTCAACAGTTCTGCCATGACATCTGGAGCACAAGACTCAAAAAGCAGAACCACTTTCATGAACGACACCAACAACATCATCTACACACACTCGCAGCGCTGACCTGAGAGTCTAGCGGTGATGAACAGGTGCAGGACATTATGCCCGACGCTGCCACCTTCCCCATGAAGATGTGCGTAAATCCTTGTTGTGGAAAATGAAAGAGTGAAAGCAGTTCTAATTACAAAATGTAAATATTGAGTTTTCCCACAATGGGAAGCAGACCACCCAAGATGAACAACAACCCCCAGCACCCTCCCTCCCTCCCGCTCTCTTTCTCTCCGTCGTCCACACGGCCTGATGTCAGGAAAACCTTCTGAGCATCAGCAAATGTGAACACACACACACACATGCCAGACAATGAACACAAGCACACGAGCGTCCGCTGACATCATCGCGTCGCGCTTGCGTAACAGTGCATTAGCCGGGACCTCCAGTCCAACAACCCAGAGGTTTACTGCACGCTTTCAGGCTCTAGATCATGATCAGGTCTCAGGTGAACGTCAAATGCTTGACTTTACGGTGCTAAATGCCTTTAAACGGCCTCCGTGAGACTGTTTTCCACATGGAACTGTGCAACATGTGGTCGGCGTGGATGGAGCCCCAGGAGTCGCCATTTGTTGACGTTTGTTTGTGCGCTGAGTGATGGGGAATGAGTGCTCAGCTGGGATCTAGATCGCCTCGATCTGACGTCGAGATGTCTTTATTCTCAGAGAAACGCTCAAAATCGCCTTCGTCACCAATAGATCTACACTCTTACAGATATAGGTTCCAAAAGAATGTTTGCACAGTGATGTCATAGATAGAAGAACAATTTGGGGTTCCTTTCAGTGAACAGTACTTAAAAGAACCAATTTTTTTTTTTTAAATTGGCATTGATTGGTTCCATTTAGAACGTTGGTTGGTTCCATTGGACAAGGTTCTTTAGATGATTAAAATGGTTCTTTTAAGAACTGATCACTGAAAGGTTCTTTGGAGAACCTTTATTTTTAAGAATGTATCGTTTGAAGAACATCTAAAGAACCTTTTTTTTTTCTTTTACTCCAAAGATCTTTCAGTGGTTCTTAATAACCATCAAAGCCAACAAATAACATTTATTTTTAAGAGTTTAGTCTGTTCTTACAGCCAAATGTTGACTACAAGGCCATTAACATGCTCACAAACAAACATAATGCATCACTGTGTTTAAAATGAAATCCATAACAATCCATAAAAGTGGGTTTGAGTTTTAAGAACATCTGAAGTGATTTGTTTCAGCGTCTGTGCCATCACAGGCTGCTTTAGATGCAATGGTTAGACGTTATTTGTTATTTAACTAATAAAATACACAAAAAACATATTAATAAAAGGCATGGTTCCATCTGTGTGTGTGTCATACTGTGAATAAATCCTTTAAATCAAGAGGTGCATCTACAGGTGTTTCCGCAGATTAATCCAATAAGTTAAGAAAACCCAGTGATCATTTGTTTATATAATTATAACTTTTGGGGATTTTGGGCCGTGCCCTCTGGACTCGAGGTTGCTTTACTCAAGAACACATTTAGAGAGTTTTATCCAGTTGTGTAAGCACCCCTAATTGCTACGGCAGTCAAAATGCACAAACAAAATTTGACAACATGCAACGAGCGTACAAAAACGACCATAAGAGGGCTGGTTTCTTCAACATCTAGTAAACAAATACTCTATATTTTACAGTCTGGTGCATCATTATGCTGTCAAGGAGAAAATGAATCCATCATGAAAATCCCCACAGGCATGATAATAAACACACCTGCACAGTAAACACCTCAAAATACCCGTCTACCTCAGCGCTGTGTTTGGGGAAACTGTGTCCCAGAAGTTGTTCTTTCTGAGAAATCATCAAGCAGGAGTAATTCCTCAGGCAGAAGGTGGATATATATGTGGAGGATCGAGAGGGAAACTTAGCCTACCTTGCGGGTTTTTGCTGACAGAAGCTCCGGCTGGCCGCTGGACAAAGACGATCAGAGAGACGCCGAATAATCCAACACACATCAACATCATGTCACACACCTTGAGCCTTCACACAGGGACTGATTCAATAAAAGCGCACAACTGCGAGATTGAGAGTCCAAGCGTGGATGAAGCTTTATTCCCGGCGCTGCTGCTGTGAATATTTGAGAGAGATAGAGAGACAGAGAGAGAGAGAGACAGGGAGAGAGAGAGTGAGTGTGTGTGTGTTTTATTTCTTGGTCTTGCGGAGACTGTGCGCGCGGAGATCGGGAGGAGAAACACGGTCGAGTTGAGCGCTCATGATCTTCAGTCCTTCAGATCTTCAGGGGAGAGAGAGGGAGAGAGAGAGAGAGAGAGAGGGAGACTGAGAGAGTGAGAGAGAGAGAGGGGAAGGGGGAGGAGAAATGCACAACAGCGCGTTGCTCTCTTTCTCTCTCAATGGATTGGTAAAAGTGAAATAAATAAACTTAAAAGTTCCATCCACACACACACACACACACAAAAATAAAAAACTGATTGCAAACGAATTAATAGACCATTTCGTGTTTTGCCAATTATATAAATCTAAGAACACAACAGAGTGTGTCATTTTTATTTATAATAGCAATAATTAGCATTATTATTTATAATTAGGCTACTATAAATTAGCTAATATATATATATTAATATTTAACAGATCCTAACACTATAGTAGCATAGGCCTACGTGCATAATTTCACTGTAACAAGGACACCTTAAAATAAAGTGTAACACTTTATTTTAAGGTGACGCAGTTAAACTTTACTACATGAAGACTAATAATAGTGAATTAAACATAATTACAACTAACAACCCTAAGCCAAACCCTAACCGAAACTCTTGAGTAGTTCATTTATATATAGCCTATATACGTCACCTTAAAATAAAGTGTAACCCTATTTTCTTATTGTAGTTATTGCTTCAGCAAACCTAAGTAGGCTATACTTCTTTTAAGTTGCCCTCAGACTTGAAAAGTTCAAATTTGTCAGTAGACAAAAGCAACTCCCTTTACCAAAGCTATGCCAAATTGCCAATAATATACTAGGCCTATATATTTTTTATTTAAGAGTTTTTTTTTTTAAATGCACATCAATAGGCCTACCAAATTGGGAGGGGGGGGGGGGGACATCTTAAACCAGTACAGTTTGCTTTATCAATGTCTCCAAGTGCACAGACGAGTCTCTCTCTTCCTGACCTTGCAGGAATTCACTATCAGCAGCGGGAGGGGCTTCGGGGGAGTGGGGGGTTTCCATGGAAACGGCTCCCGCGGGGGCAACGGAGGTCAGACACTCCGGGATCCACGTGCAATTCACGGATTGCCTCTCATCTCACCGCAAACTTCTGAAACTACTCGATCTTCACATTCTCTAGGGCACTTGAGTCATGTTGGGCAACTGATATTGCATATTTGGGCTTTAAGGCTGCGTCGATCCGTCTCCCAGATTCGCATCCTAAAGGCATCCAGCTGCTCGTGCATCCCACGTACCGAAAGACTGTATGCCACGAGAATAATCGTGTCAGAACAGGCCTGTTCAAACAGAAAAAAATGATTCAGTGTTTTTGAGAGAAGACAATTAACCCCTGCGACAATTAAAAAAGGCATGCCAGAGGTGTGACTTCATGCTAAAACTCATTAAGCAGATGGAAAACTTAGCCACCCTTGTCTGAAGGGTCCTTCGCGACTTCATCTGACATCTGTGATTATACGCTTTTACCTTTGGCCTTTCTGTCGGTTTCATAACGGGGAATTTACCATGGCTTGTGTCCTGGAGAACAAGTCGTCATTATTCACACATCCGAACAAAGTGAATGAGATACTCAGTCTTTTTTGCGCGTTCAAAATTGCCAGATAATTGCATTCCTCTGGCTTTCACATTAACACAGGCTCACTCCTCCGTAGTGTTCGTGAAATAACAGATTCCTTGCTTTCATTAAACATTCTGCTCCAGCTTTCTCCAAACTTCCTCGTCCTGTCAAGCCCCAGTACAGTTCAACAAAGGCAGAGGGAGGCAAGCTTCAGCCTGTCCCGCTCCATCATTACTGCACTCGCCGAAGTTACTGTTTAGTTTTTATAATGCTTCGCCTTTTTTAAACGAACTGCTCCGTGCTTGATTCGCATGACTTCACCTCTCTGCACACTGTAATATTCTCGATGTGAGAGCTGGGTCACAGCACAAAGCTTTCAAACACCGTCCCTTCAGCATCAAATCTATTCCTCACAGACACGTTTATTTTGAAATTCTGTAAAAGCATGTTTAATTTAGTTAGTCTGCATGCTTTCGTGAACAACTGATGCTCTGAATCAGAGAAAGCATTTAAGTTTTCCCTGTATAAACCTCTAAAAGAAACTTGATGCAAAGTGATGACAACGTTTTTCAGGATTTGTTGATAAAATAAAAATGTTCAAAATAACATTAGTCACATTGGGTGAATTCCATGAATCCTAGCTTTTTAAAAAAATCAATTCAATGATTTAACTTTTGATATATAAAAAGTTATTTCATGAAACTTTAGATGGCACAGGCTGTAATCTGCTTGCAACCACATCATTCTCTATAGAGCTAAGCTCAGCTGATTGGTTCCTGCTGTATCTAGCCAATGAGCTTCTCAACTTTCAAATGGTCCGCACATAACTGACGTCTTGGGACGTCTTGGAACCATACGTCAACATCCGCCTTTTTAGGGTACCCTTAAACGTCGGTTAGATGACGTTATCGGATCCTAACCCTACGCCGTCACCTAACCGACGTTAAAGGTAAAGCGTCAGTTGTATGACGTCCCGGCATCGTCAACTAACCGACGTTTAAGGGTACCCTAAAAAGGCGGATGTTGACGTATGGTCAAAAGACGTCAGTCATATGACGACTTGGGATGAGACTGTGTTAGTCAGCATTTGCTGTAGCAGTTGCAGTGAGCTTTCAGAAACCCTCCACCTTCCCCAGCGCCTGCAACGGGTAATTCATGTAATTGTAATATTGCACTGCAGTATGTCTTGCTCACAGCAGCGTACTTGCAATAACCAAAATCGGCAGACATAATCAACATCATAAATAACCACTATCAGAATTAACAGCAGCAGCAATAATTAACAGTAGCAATAGTGATAAACAAGATCATCATCGTCATCAGAAGCAGCAGATCTATTCCACGAACACCAAAAATATCAACATTGTCAAATCCATTGCCATGCCAAAGACTCGAGTGTTTGTGTGCCATGACAGAAATGTATTACAGGTTACAGACGTATCCATTTGTATAGAACATGATAATAAGTCGCTTAGCTCCGGTAGCCATACTGTTGTCATTAAAGCTAAATGGAGAGATAAATATTGTTTTCAACAAAATGAGAAAATGCAAATTAGAAGCATTTTCAGTGATGGCCTCAGACGTGCAGTATGTCTCCACCACATACTTTCACATTAGTCACACCGGTCGAATGGACCACCCAGTGGACAGATGTTTTGCAACATCAGGGAGGATATTTTGATTGTCTTGTAAGCTGCATCAACCTGGATTTGCCCACACAGTTTTTGAGAGTCTGAGTCATGCAATTAGACTGAAGTCTCGCTACTTCTCAGATACACACACTCGGAAAGCCGACACAATTCCCCTCTTTATCTGCTTGATGGGATTCTGACTCATCTGACTTTAATCTTTTCAAAGGAGAAACAGATTTGAAAGATTGCAGAAAGCATCAATTGATGGAAACTCCAGGTGGGCTCTAGGGACATCTAGAGGTCAAACCAAGCAGCACAACATCCAACTGATGATGATGATGCGCAAAGGATAGAAATGTGACACTTTAAACATAACATTCTGTCCATTTTTACACACCTTCAAAAATGTGCAGGTCTTTGGTATGGTTTTGATGCATGGCAGGTCATAGAGATCCTCTGCAAAAAAATAAATAAAAACCATCACTAAAAATGTCCAAGTAAAATACAGGATTAAAGCTATATGAAATAAACTACAAATCCGTGTATGATGGAGATATAATGTAGATGTGGGTTTGTTTTAGATGCCAGAGTAAAGTCACGAGTCACGACATCGTCTGGTATCACAACCAGGGCTGAAGAGATTAGTGGAAACTCCTCTGGACACATTTTACAACATCTGATTAAGATTAAAGCTCTGCTCCAAAACATATGAGCATCATAGGCCCTAAAATCAGCTTAAAGCGCAGGTGACATGTCAAAATCATCATATTTCAATTAGACACTCCCTTAGAAGGCAGCAAAGCAGCTGCAATTTAGCTCATCTTTGTCTCTAATGAGCCAATAAACCAAAGTAAGCAGTAATTGTGTTGCACCCTTGGGCCTGGAGGAGGGTTTCATCTGAGATCATATCTGTGGGGGTAATTGCTGGAGGTATGAGCTCAAACGATTATCTCCGTTGATTGCTGGTAATCAGCTACTGTAAGTAGGCCTGCATGTCCTCATGAGGTCTACCTGTGGGATGAGGAAAGTAATCCCATGATATCATTCCTCTCTGATGTTTTTCTAGTACAAGTCTCCTCAAGCCTTTAGCTAGTACAGTAGCTATAAAGGGTTAGCCATGTCGCTAATTTGCCACTGAATAAAACCACCACCAATTCTTCCGACCACACTGGTTTAACTGGTTAGCTTCACATGACTACCAGTAGGGGCTAAACTACACAATTCTGTGGACAATAATGACACATACAGTACAACTACACTTCTCCATTTATTTCACTATTTGAAATGATCTGTATACTTAAAAAAATATAATTTTTTTTTAATTCGGAAAAAGATACCTAACATAATGAGTAGATGTTTTACCATTGCTCAAAATTTTTGAAAGGCTCTTAATGCTATGAAATATGTGTGCATCCATAATATATATTAGAAATGAACAGATATGAAAATTTTGGCCGATATCGATATTTGCTAACCGATAATATTTGTTAACCGATATATTGGCTGATGCATTTAAATCCAAATTAAATTTTTGAGAGCCTGGTTACAAAAACAAAAGCCTCACCATTAAAATCCATGTCCCAAGAACACAATTATGATGTTCCCGTTATTATAATTTTATGTCGCCGATAAGACAGATTGCGCTGCGCGTTTCACTTTACAATGATTTCAATCATATTTCAAGCAATTCAAAACCATCATGTTGAATAGTGCGCATCTTAAGTGTCTCAACTGAAGAAAATAATTAATAAGAAAAAAAAAAGAAAAATCCATTAATTATTGGCCGGTGAAATGATCTTATATTGTGTTCAACGATATATTGTGCATTCCCGATATATACTCAAAGTGCCAGATCAATCACAACAC